TAGAATTTCTCGAAGAAAGAATTCGCATTCTTGAAGAAATAAACAAAGTTAGTTTTCCTAAGCAGAGCTATGCTACTAAAGTATCAAATCAATTAAGTCGCTCTAGAAATTCAAAATCCTTGGTAACTAAAACAAACCCTTTTCGAAAGTGTATTATGTGTAAAGAACCACACCCAATTTATCATTGTTCGAAATTTAAGAGTATTTCTGTTTCTGAGCGGTATGATTTTGTTAAAGAATATAAATTATGCATTAAATGCCTTTCTCCATCACACGTATTATCGCAGTGTAAGGCTAAATTCAGTTGTTATGTCTGTAAGAAAGACACACACATCATACGCTGTTACATAAAATTGACGAAAAACAAAATGAATCATCGAAAGAAAATGAATTGACCTTGAACCTTTCGTCAGTGAATGGGAAAGAGGACTGCCCCTCTCCCCCCACACAACTTTGATGGCAGCTGCAAATAAATCTAAATTTGTGTTAATAAATACAGCGATTGTTTATCTTCGCGATGTTTACGATGAACGAATTCCTTTTAGAGCCGTGCTTGATTCAGCTTCGACTTCTAATTTTTGTACTGTAGGTGTTATGAACTCATTAGGAATAAAAAAAGAACGAGCATTTATTCCAGTTAGTGGAATAGGCAACACTACTTTGAATGTTAAATCGCAAATAAAGACGCGTTTATCGAACTTAGAAAAGGAAAATGAATGGGAAATAGAGTTATTAGTTGTTCCCAAAATAACTGACATGACACCATCGAAATCTATTGATATTTCGAAATTAAATATTCCGAAAGGAATAAAGTTAGCTGATGATGAATTTTTCAAGGCAAAAAAGGTAGATTTATTATTAGGTGCGGAATTATTTTTTGAATTTTTTAAAAACAGATAAAATACGTTTAGAAGATAATGAGTTACTTCTTCAAAACAGCTGCTTCGGCTTTTTAGTTTCTGGAAGCATTAGAATTCCAAATGTAAAAAATTATGACTTAAATTATTGTTTTTTGTCAACAGAGATTAATTCGTTAAATAACTTAACTTAGTAAAGTCATTCTGGGAAGTTGAAGAAGTAAATGAAACTAAATCTACAGTTAATTCTGAATTAAATTATTGCAACGAACTTTTTGAAAAACTCATTTTACCGGCATGCGGATGGAAGATATGTGGTTAAAATGCCGTTCAAGCCAGATATTGGTGAAAACATACAATTAGGGGATTCAAAGGAAATCGCTGAAAAAAGACTGAATCAATTGTGGAAACGTTTGTCGAGTGATTCTGTAATGAAAGAACTTTATGTTTCATTTTTAAGGGAATATGAATCATTAAATCATATGGAGAGGATGGAAGACTATTCTGAAACTGAAGGAGGATATTTTCTTCCTCATCATGGCGTGCTGAAACCTGATAGTAAAACAACAAAGTTACGCGTTGTGTTCGACGCGAGTGCCAAAACTACTAACGGTTGTTCATTGAACGACATATTATGTAAAGGTGGAATGATTCAAGAGGAACTTTTTTCCATCATGATACGGTTTAGAAAGCATATTTATGCATTTACTGCCGATATTGAGAAGATGTTTCGACAAATTGAAATATTGCCATCGCAGACCAAATATCAAAAAATACTTTGGAAGGAAGATGAAGATAAGCCTATAGAAATATACAGACTCAAAACGGTAACTTATGGCACAGCATGCGCTCCATATTTGGCACAAAGGACTCTTCAACAGTTAGCGAAGGATGAAGAAAAGGATTTTCCTGTAGCATCGAAAGTGGTCTTGGAAGATTTCTATGTAGACGACTATCTTACTGGATCTTCGAATTTGAAGGAATGCATTAAGCTCCAGAAAGATTTGATAGAATTGCTCCAAAGAGGAGGAATGAAGCTACACAAGTGGTGTACTAGTTTTGATTCGCAGAACTCTGATTTACAGAATTTTTCATTTGATCGTAATAGTAATACAACTGTGAAGACGTTAGGTATGTTGTGGAACAATAAGAAATCCTTCTTATTGTTCCACAGAAGATACATTGCAATATACAATCATTACTAAATTCCACAATCATTACTAAATTCTATTAGGCAAATTTATTGGCCCATTAATGGCAGGAATATAGCTAGAAAGATAGTCCAAAACTGCATAATTTGCTTTAAGGAAAAACCTATAATTTCTCAACAACTAATGGGAGAATTACCTAAAGACAGAATTAATATTAACTTTACATTTAATTGTTGTGATATTGATTATTACAGCCCATTTTTGATAAAGTACAAAGGGCAACGCAAGAGTAACTATCATAAGATATATGTTTGTATTTTTGTTTGTATGGTGACAAAAGCAATCCATCTAGAGATTGTCAATGACTTAACCGCAGAAGCATTCATTGCTTGTCTGAAGAGGTTCTTTGCCCGACGAGGTAAACCAGAAAAAATATTTAGTGACAATGCAAAAAAACTTTGTTAGTGCAAATACAGAAATTAAAAATAATTGAGTATTTTTCTAAAGCAGAATGGAACTTTAGCTAATTTTCTAGCCGAGGAAGGTGTACAATGGAAGTTTATACCCCCAAGAGCACCAAATTTTAATGGTCTATCTGAAGCAGGAGTAAAATCCTTTAAATTTCATTTTAAACGAACAGTAGGAAATTCAGTATTAACCTACGAAGAATTTTTGACAGTAACAGTTCAAGTAGAGGGAATCTTAAATTCTCGCCCTCTTACACCGTTAACTTCTAATATTGATGATTTAAATGTTTTGACCCCTGGTCATTTCCTTATAGGTCGACCGATCGATCAATTCAATAATTGAACCCAATTTAACAGAAGTAGATAATAACAGACTTAGTTTATGGCAAAAAACTACAAAAATGGTACAAAATATATGGAAGAACTGGACTAATAATTACTTGAGCACTTTGATTCAAAGAAATAAATGGATGATTGCTAAACAAAATATTAAAATAGGGGATATGGTAGTGATCAAGGAAGAAAATCTTCCTACCTGCAAATGGTTGTTAGGGAGAATTGTAGATGTGTTTTATGGGAAGGACAACCTTGTGCGAGTTGTCTCTGTCAAAACCAAAAATGGTATTTATAAACGAGCAGTTACTAAAATTGCTGTACTGCCAATTGAGAAATAATGTACGAATTTTTTATGTTTATTTGAAGGTTTGAATTGTAATCTATCATATTTGTTCTTTTCACATTGTAATTACATGTATTATAATTTGTGCATTAATTTACATTGTATCATTTTGTATTGTATGAACATTTATTACTTTTTTGAATTTTACTTATTGTATTGAAATTAATATTTCAACGCCGGGCGGGATGTTCGGTGTCTGAAAGAGTATTGCTTGGCAGCATTGTTTTACGCCAAGCAGAGTTTGGCTTTAGTGTAACCCTAAAGTTATTTCGTTTTTGCCAATTAGTATGTATGATTTTTGACTTGATGTAAGAGCATATGGTTGCTCGCTTTTAGCTAGGTTACATAGGTAACTATAAGCACACGCATGTGCTAGTATTCAATAATGTTGTTTTTGTTACAATAAATTTGTTATTGTTAATATTACAGTCCACTTACTGAATTTAAGTTTCACTAAATAAGTTTGAGCTATCTTCGGCAGGAACATTATGTATTAATGAGGCACTGTGCCATGTTGCTAAAACATTCATGTGGCCACCTGATGACACCAAAAAATTTATATGGTAACCCATGATTGACGGACACTTTTGCAGACATGAATGTAGATTATGAACCCTTCTATGGGAATTTCAGCATTTTAACATAGCAGTGAACTGCATACTGCAGTGTTCATTGAAATCTTGGGCTTAACTTTCTATGCACATAATATGGCTCACTTAAAGCCGTTTAACGCTATTTTTGCCCATGCCTCCTTTTCATTTCAAGACTTAGGAGCTGAGGTTGTGTGCACATAAAAAGAAACACAGTTTGCAATTTACTGATGTTAAGTGAAAACAGATCACTCCATACATGGGGAGAAATACAATTAAAAACTTTAAAATACACATTTCATACAGAAAAAGAATGTAAAAAAATACACAGCACTAGATGCATTCTTGAAACAGATGTAAACCCAAATGCTGCGGCATTCAAGTTTTATTAAGCAAATATTACTTAATTTACATCTTTTCTATTTGCCTCAGTTTACCATGATGTTCCTTCATGTCAGAAAAATTTGAGCAATATGCAGTTTTACTTAGAAGTCAGAAGAATCATGCATAGTTGTACATGAGGTTTTCAGTAATCCTGCCAACACTGCACTGCCATGGAAAGTTTCTGTTAGGACACATAATACAGGTCTCAAACTCAATACATTAGCACAAAAATAGTGTTAATTTGGTAGGTTAGAAGATTCCATCTCACTCACAATCTCATAGCCTCTTAGGATAAGTTAAATTGTTTGAATTTATAACAGTTTGAAGGAAGCTTACGTTTTAGCCAGATTCAGGCGACTGGCGAATGATTTTATTAACCCCTCACAAGTGATAAGATAGAACAAACTATGTCTGTCTGTTTTAAAAGTTAGAAATTTTAATGGTGAGAATTCATCCACGAAACCCATGTGACACCACAGTTTAATTTTAAGTGAACTTACTTAACTCAAGATAGTTGTTACATTTGACAATACTGAAATAATAATGTTATGTTTTCTCAGGACAAATCTTTATATTTTCAACAAATTTTCTCTTGGATTCGCTAATGAATGTGTAAATGCTCTCTAAGGCTAAGTATCAGATAAAGTTTATAACCTTTTTAGTAGGGGTGTGGATAATCAGAATGTACCATAAAAACCACATACATCATATAATTTTAGTTTTTATCTTTTAAAATGACAAACACAGAGGAAATCTGGGGGCGGGGAAGAGGGCAGTATTTTCCAGAATGAATACAGCATTTTAACAGAATGGTGAAACAAATTTTAAATGATCTTTTATTTTCTGCAAGAAACTACATTTAATTCGCTTACCTGATAAGCAGACTTTCCTAGAAGAATAAGTTGCTTTTAGTATATCATCGGCAACCTAGAAATGAATAAAATATTGCTTTTAAATTTCAATGCGAAGAAAGTAAGCTGCCATGTCTAATTACAAATCATCTTCCCCTTCTGCAATTAAATAAGGAAGACAAAGCTTTATTATCGAAAAGTATTCTATTAATTAAAATTACTTACTTTTGGCACATCATCTTTAACTGAAGAATTAGATGATGGTGATGCAGGAACATTTGAACTAAAAAGGAAATAATTGAAAATAATTTTTAAAAAATTATAAATGATCGAAGTTACAAACATTATAAATGAATTTCTGAGTTTCATTTATGTTATAAATTTAAACACAAAATGTTAAGTTTAATTATTTACTTTCTTTAACTACAAGGATTGTTTTTCTGTTTTATTTCATTTCAAACTTTTTTTTTAAATGGCAGGCACTAGCCACTACTAAGACCAGAAGCGGTGGTCATTTTATTATGAAGGCACTTAACACATTATGAGCGAGAGCGGGTATTTGTACCCGTTTCACAGATTGCCATTTAAAAGCGGGGCAGGTATTAGTACCCGTTTACAATCACCACTTTTAAGTGACACAAAGGAAAAAAATTTTTCATATAATGTATGGATTGGTATATTTTTATTAGAACAGATTTTTAACTTAGTCAACTTATTTGCAATCAACTTGTATAAATATCTCTTATGTGCTAAGACATCTACATATCCCTCAACACATTAGTTGACAACACTGCATTTATGAAGTTTTTATATTAAATCGTTATTACTATTATTCATATTACTGCTAAGCAACATAGTTGCGTATGTTAGATAGACCACACAAAATGGGTTAATAGGCAGCCATCGTTGCCTCCGATGAAGAAACAGACAATTTACATCCATGCCTTCTTCGAGATTGAAATCCGAGCCCTTCGGTATAGCAGAATCACTAACTATTTTCCCATCTGGGCAGTTCATTTCAAACATTATTTAAAAAGATTTACATTCTAAGTTTTATAGCCATTTCAATTTTTTTTGTTTAAAAATAGCCACTACTAAGCGAGCAGTTACTAAAATTGCTGTACTGCCAATTGAGAAATAATGTACGAATTTTTTAAGTTTATATAAAAAATATAACAAAGAAATCTTTAATACCTTTGAGTATCTTTTAGAGCTCCACTTTCTTTAGAAGTCTCCTTAGGTACTGCCTTAGTTTTTGAAATTAAAATATTGTCACGCTTTATTTTAAGCTTCTGCTTGGATGATGCAGCATTTGCATACTTCAACATATGTTCAGCATTATTCGTAGAATTATTCTTAGTTTTTTCTGTATCAGGCACAGAACTAGAATTAGAATTAACACTAGAATCTCTGTGACCAACTGATTTACTTTTATTGAAATTGCGATCTTGGCTACTTTCACTGTTCTGTGAACTATCACTGGAACTACTCTTGTTTCGTTTGCTTTTCTTAATTTCATCGTCTGAACCATCACTAACAGATTTTACCTTTTGAGCATGTGCTTTACCAGAATCAGGACTTCGCCCATTATCACTGTCTTCTGAAGAAGACCTAGATCTTCTTGCACTCTCTTTTTCTTTTGATGACTCTCTTGATTGCTCTTTTGTAGGCTCTACATCTGCTTTTGGAATTATCTTTTCCTCTTCACGTACAGCATTATCTTTTTTAGTTTTATGTTCTAGTGCCTGAGATGTATCACTCAAACTGTTCTTTTGAGAATTTCCAATCTTTTGTTTTTCATCACTACAGTTAACTGAATTTACAGAATTTGGTGTATCGCATGATTCACCGGTAGGATCTTCAGAATCGGAATTAGAGTTCCGTCTCTTAGATGCATTCTTATTACTACTGGAAACAACTATACCGGGTGAGGTAATACCATTTGAATGCAACTGAGTTTCCGAATTCTTCTCTGTTGATTCAATGTCATTCTTTTCTGAGGTTACATGGGATGCACTTGAAACATCAGATGATATTTGAGACACAGATTTAGAAATACTTCCAGGACTTTCTGGTAACTGAATATCAGATAAAGAGTAAGGCACCTGAAATAAAAAAGAATAACTGTTCTGTATTCATACACAAAATATTGATTTTTACAAGCAGTTCTTTACTGAAAGCACTGGAAAACAAAGTAATTTTCAAAAATATTATAAAAGTTTTCACTTATATTTCTAAACATATTAAACTTTATAAGGATTTATCAAATAAAATTTTTGAGTCATTCAATAATGATAATATTAAGAGCAAAATATATACACTAAGTCATAAAATAAGCTACAGTAAACATTAAATACAGTCAAAAGTCTTTATCCGGACTCGTCGGGACTTCGGCGATTCCGGATTATCGATTTTTCCGGATTATAGATCATCAGTCTAAATCTGGCAGATGGCATGCAGAAATTACAAAATTAAAAATATGAAACCGTAATTTATAAAATAAAGAACAATTATGATCTAAAGGGTATCAAAATTTACAAAAAAAAAAAGCTTAATATTTATTTGTTTACTTTATTAAACATTTCTTTCAACGCGCGCATGCGTAAAGCCTTACGCATAGCCGAAATTAGAAAATTGCAACCAGAAAACTATTTGATGTGTATTCGTGAAATTTATAATGAAGAGGAATTTGATTTAAATCATATCAAAGACGGAGTACATCGAGATGAAATACTACATTTAGTAAGGAACTATAAGCCGAATAAAATAAAAACATCTGCCCTGAAGATAAGATAGTGCTGACAGATCAACTTCCAGTTCATTGCGCGCCGCGACGTCCCCCCCCCTCCGCAGAGCAGTGTGAAATTGATAAGCAGATTTTGGAATGGTTAGAGAAACAAAGGATATGCATTTATCCATTTTTTGCAGCAATTCCACTTTTTGTTTGATGGACATCGAAACATACTTTCACTTTGTAGATCCTTTGGGAGTATCCAGCATCGGAAATTCTATTTGACATAATCGAAAGTTCAAGCTTACTTTTATAAATTGCTCTAACAGTCTGCAAAAAATAATAAGCCGGAATGCCAATTCGAAGATTAAGGAACAAACGCAATCTGCAACATTAACTGAAATAGATAATTAGATAATTTTAGCTTATGCCGTCCGACGCATTAAAAAAACATGCGTATCTGCACTTGCGCAGACACATATTGCGCAGTCGTAAAGGTCTTACGCGGACGCGTAAACGCATATGCGCATGCGTCAAATGCGGCGCATGCGCAGAAAGATTTTAGCTTTGAGGTCCGGATTATAGATCATTCCGGATTATGGGTGTCCGAATTAACGACTTTTGACTGTATTGGTAATTGTAAATTCGCATAATTAAAAGATTTTTTTCTATGCAGTGGCGAAAGCCAAGCTATAAACATTATATTTCCAACCTTGGCTGATGTAAAATAAGCGAATTTTGCGCTTTTGCAGCTGATGATGGTAGTTCGGTAAAGCCATCGAAAGCAGTCCAGTGAAATTTTGAAAATATAACGCTGATTTTTGTTATTTGACTTCTGAATTAGTATGTAGATTTTGGTTATTTAATTTGGTTACACAATACAATAAGGGTGGAAAATGTGCGATAGAATGGTGCATGAATTAATAGTTTGATTCCGAATGTGTACGAATGCCCCCAAGTGTAAAAATAACATGAAATTAGTTGAAAGTTAAGATACGACAGATTTGTGTGATTGGAGGTGTGTATCCAGTCCTTCCAAGCACAATGTCAAAAAGAGTGTGAGAAAGGGCTCTTGGTTTTCCGAGGAATACCTGTCAGTCTGATCCTTTACCTAACATATCTGTAGAGTTAGAAATGCATGAATCAGTTTATTATGGATGATTGATTAATACAGTTGAATTGAATTATGGGAACTGATTAATACAGATTTTGATTTAAATATAAATCACAATAAAAGTAATTTTCATTAGATGCAAGTACATTATATGTGATTCAGTGCATGGTTGAAGTGAGCGCGCCATTTAAATTTTATCTTCATTGTATTACAGTCAAAAGTCGTTAATTCGGACACCCATAATCCGGAATGATCTATAATCCGGACCTCAAAGCTAAAATCTTTCTGCGCATGCGACGCGTTGACGCATGCGCATAGGCGTTTTAAGCGTGCGCGCAAGACATTTACGACTGCGCATCTGCGTTTGCGCAGACGCAGAATACGTTTTCGCGTGCGCGTTTAATGTATGACGGATGGTATAAGCTAAAATTATCTAATTATCTATTTCAGTTAATGTTGATGATTGCGTTGTTCCTTAATCTTCGAATTGGATCCGGCTTATTATTTTTTGCAGACTGTAAGAGCAATTTTATAAAAGTACGCTTAAACTTTCGATTATGTCAAATAGAATTTCCGATGTTGAAGCTCCCAAAGGATCTAGAAAACGAAAGTATGTTTCGATGTCCATCAAACAAAAAACGAATTGCTACAAAAAATGGATAAAGCCATATCCTTTGTTTATCTAACCGTTCCGAAATCTGCTTATCAATTTCACGCTGCTCTGCGGGGGGGGGGGGGGGACGTCGCGGCGCGCAATGAACTGGAAGTTGATCTGTCAGCACTATCGTTATCTTCAGGGCAGATGTTTTTATTTTATTCGGCTTATAATTCCTTACTAAACGTAGTATTTAATCTCGATGTACTCCGTCTTTGATATGATTTAAATCAAATTCCTCGTCATTATAAATACCACGAATACAAATCAAATAGTTTTCTGGCTGCAATTTTCTAATTTCGGCTATGCGTAAGGTATGCTTTACGCATGCGCGCGTTGAAAGAAATGTTTAATAAAGTAAACAAATAAATATTAAGCTTCTTTTTTTGGTAAATTTTTAATACCCTTTAGATCATAATTGCTTCATTATTTATAAATTATGGTTTCATATTTTTAATTTTATAATTTCTGCATGCCATCTTACCAGATTTAAACTGATGATCTATAATCCGGAATCGCCGAAGTCCCGACGAGTCCGGATTAAAGACTTTTGACTGTATTATATTTAGTATAGACATAAACAAATGTGGTTTTTTACTGTTTATTAAAAATAAAAATTTATTGTAAAAATATTAATTTCATAGTTAAAATTGTTTTACCACTATTTTGTTTTTTATTATACTATGGCTGATGTTTCAGTTAATCGAAATTTTGAATTTATCTTCATTTCGCTTAAAGCATTTTTTTAAAAGTTTTTGCTCATATATGAATAAATTTTTTCCCCTTATTTATTGCTTATTACAGTTTCTTAATTTTTTTTATAAAATATTTCACACCCTTTTGCTACTGTCTTAAAAATGATATATAGTTTTATGAAAAGACTTAATATTGTTGATCTCATAAAAATATATAGTTATTAACTTTCAATACTTTTTTGTTGTTTTTCTTGAACTTCTGTTTTAGATATGAATTCTTTGTATGTTTGCAGTATTCATTCAAATTCGCAAAGTAACCCATTTGGTGAATTGGAGATTTTTCAAAAACGCATCAAACTGGCCCGCAATATCTTCTTTTACTCCATGCCCTTCAGCACAGCAGCAGTCAGAATTACTAAGGGATAAGTGTTAATAATAATACCCCAGTTGGTATAAGTGTTAACAGTAAAATCTCAGTAAATAATAATTTCCCGGTTGGAATAATAAGATTACCAATTATCCCACTTGAGCGGCATCACAATTTAAACATGCTACTTATTAAAAACAAAATCTTGTAAAGGCACTTGCTCCTATTCACCAAGTTAGAAAAAGTAGGATTTCAGTCAATTATAAAACCGACAGCTTGAGAAAAATCATAAATTACTCTTCCACACCAAAGATAAAATAACAGAAAATTTTTAACAATTTTTTTTAATGTATAAATTGAGACAATTGAGTTTTAATGCATATTTCTTAAACGTTCATATAAAAAACATAAACGAGCTCAAAAACATCAGTAAAACAGGAAAAAAGAACTCACAGATTGTACTGGAGTAGTAGAATCCATATTTGAAGAAGATTCTTGATTGCATGAAATTTGAATATCACTATAAAAATATATAATCTGTTTATTAGTTATGAAAAATTCACATAAAATACATTATACAGTCAAAAGTCGTTTATTCGGACCTCAAAGCTGAAATCTTTCTGCGCATGCGCGCAATACCTTTACGACTGCGCATATGCATGTGCGCAAGCGCAGAATACGTTTTTGCGTGCGCGTTTAATGTATAACGGACGGTATAAGCTAAAATTATCTAATTATCTATTTCAGTTAATGTTGATGATTGTGTTGTTCCTTAATCTTCGAATTGGATCCAGCTTATTATTTTTTGCAGACTGTTAGAGCAATTTTATAAAAGTACGCTTGAACTTTCGATTATGTCAAATAGAATTTCCGATATATATTTACTAATATGTAAAGGATCTACAAAGCGAAAGTACGTTTCAATGTCCATCAAACAAAAAGTGGAATTGCTGCAAAAAATGGATAAAGGCATATCCTTTGTTTCTCTAACCATTCCGAAGTCTGTTTATCAATTTCATGCTGCTCTGCAGGGGCGGGGGACGTCCCGGCGCGCAATGAACTGGAAGTTGATCTGTCAGCACTATCCGTATCTTCAGGGCAGATGTTTTTATTTTATTCAGCTTATAATTCCTTACTAAATGTAGTATTTAATCTCCATGTATTCCGTCTTTGATATGATTTAAATCAAATTCCTCGTCATTATAAATATCACGAGTACACACCAAATAGTTTTCTGGTTGCAATTTTCTAATTTCGACTGTGCGTAATGTATGCTTTAGGCATGTGCGCGTTGAAAGAAATGTTTAATAAAGTAAAAAAATAAATATTAAGCTTTTTTTTTTTTTGTAAATTTTGATACCCTTTAGATCATAATTGCTCTTTATTTCATAAATTACGGTTTCATATTTTTAATTTCTGCATGCCATCTTACCAGATTTAAACTGATGATCTATAATCCAGAATCGCCGAAGTCCCAACGAGCCCGGATTAATGACTTTTGACTGTATTTAAAAAATCATATGAAAACAAATAAGTTTTTCATTTTTAATTTAAATAATGTGTGTGCCTTTACAGCAAGCTGATTATTACAGTACAGTCAAAAGTCTTTAATCCGGACTTGTCGGGACTTTGGCGATTCCGGATTATCGATAATCAGTTTAAATCTGGTAAGATGGCATGCAGAAATTATAAAATTAAAAATATGAAACCATAATTTACGAAATAAAGAGCAATTATGATCTAAAGGGTATCAAAATTTACAAAAAAAAAAAAAAAAGCTTTATATTTATTTGCTTACTTTATTAAACATTTCTTTCAACGCACGCATGCGTAAAGCATACATTACACATAGTCGAAATTAGAAAATTGCAACCAGAAAACTATTTGACGTCGTGATATTTATAATGACGAGGAATTAGATTTAAATCATATCAAAGACAGAATACATCGAGATGAAATACTACATTGAGTAAGGAATTATAAGCTGAATAAAATAAAAACATCAGCCCTGAAGATAAGGATAGTGCTGACAGATCAACTTCCAGTTCATTGCGCGCCGCAACGTTCCCCCCCCCCGGCAGAGCAGCGTGAAATTGATAAACAGACTTTGGAATAGTTAGAGAAACAAAGGATATGCCTTTATCCATTTTTTGCAGCAATTCCACTTTTTGTTTGATGGACATCGAAACATGCTTTCACTTTGTAGATCCTTTGGCAGCTCCAGAATCAGAAATTCTTTTTGACATAATCGAAAGTTCAAGCTTACTTTTATAAAATTGCTCTAACAGTCTGCAAAAAATAATAAGCCGGATCCAATTTGAAGATTAAGGAAGAACACAATCTGCAACATTAACTGAAATAGATAATTAGATAATTTTAGCTTAGCTTATACTGTCCGTTATACATTAAACACGCATGCGTAAACATATTATGCGCATGCGCACACGCGTGAACGTATCATGCGTTGACGCATGCGCAGAAAGTTTGTAGCTTTGAGGTCCGGATTATAGATCATTCCAGATTATGGGTGTCCGCATTAACGACTTTTGACTGTATATAAAATAGTCGTAAAATGCAAATAAGAAATAAAACAAAACAAATACAGAAATGAGCAAATAAAACGAATTGCATTGATCCAAGTTGATAATATCATTTACTGGAGGGGATTATAATTTTCAAAGCTAACTATATCAATTTAACTATAACTTAACTATATCAATAGATGATTTGATATTTCAACAAATTTTAAATTGAAGTTTTAAAGAAAGCATACTGCTGAAGCATATACCAACACAATTATCTTCTTAACATATTTGGTACCAATGCAAGAAAACCTACAATTTGCATAAATGTCAATATCTTTATGTAAGATATATAATATTGCTGAAGATGTATATAAAGTAAAAATGCGTACGCAGCTGAAATTAAAAATGAACAATGATGTAAGTACTGTTTACTGTTAACTCTGCCAATCTAATAACAGCAAACACAAATTTACTACTGCTTTTATTTTTTGTGATCATGTCAAATGACTCAAAATCTAAATTTGCAATCTCACGACATTTTATCAATTTCTCCATATAAACACTTCAATTTCTCTATAAATATTTAAAAACTACAGTAAACAAGGTTACCAGAAATTTTTGCCATAAGACATTTTAATAAAAAATTTAAACTTATACATTTAAAAAGTTCACGTCTCTTACTGTTTGCAGAAACAGGCATCAATTTTCGTATGTAAAAGCCTTATGAAATCATAGTAAATTTTTATTTCTTTATTACAATATTCCAGTCATTTCTCAAGTATCAATTTCGTTCATTACTAAAAAAATCATAAAATACTCTTGTAGAACTGCCTCCTCTTCATCATCACTAGCACAGTCACGTATAAATGAATTACGAGGTACAATATCAACGAATTAACATACAGCAGTAAAGAGCAAAAGCGAATTTAAAGTAATTTAGACTTGGTGAATCTTTTTAATCTACTATTGTCTAAAATGCGTGTAACATCAAAAACTGTTATTCAAACTGATTTTTCGGATTTCTGACTAATTTTGGGCAGCATAAAACAATACGCGAAAGATCGAACTGCACATAATAGCATGCCTTTAAAATAAAGTAGACCAAAACGATTCATACTTTGAATGCATAATTCCTAACTTTCAGAACCAGGCACACCGGGTAATCGCAGGACATGCATCCTTTTATCACTATTAATTTCTTATGAAAAATACATAAACACATTTCTATTCGAAAATGAGGCTAAAATATGAATAAGATAATAATAACATCTAAATTAGGTATAAAAAAATAAAATCTACCTGAATTACTGCAATTTCCAGCGACTCTACCAACCTGCAGTTAAACAGACGGTTACAGCTACTACTGCACACAGATGTAAGTAAAACAAAATATAAACACATCACATTATACTTGAATTTCACTTTAACGTGGGGAAGGGTGAAAGAAACCTCTTAAAACGTTATTAGTCTAATAAATTTCTCCAGTATAAGTGATAAGCAATATAACAGTGCTTTTTATCGTCTTATAATTCAAATAATTACAGTCACGCCAATCAAACACCAATTTTTTTATTATTATTATTATTATTATTCGTTTAGTTTGGGGTCGTAAATTTGTTCCATTACTGTTATTCATTTTTTTCAATTTAAATTTTTAAATTCATTTAAAGCGGCAAATTATTTTTTAACATTTTAGGCACACATATATACTCTTCTAAAAAAATAAGACATATAGAGCAAAAATTATCGATGATGAAAATACGTATATATGAAGCATATGAGAAAGAAAGAAAATTATTGCGACTCAACAGCACTGAGATAATTATTTCGGTTAGAGGAGTTAAAAGGTGAAAAAATTATGTCCTGTATCATACTCGCAGAATCAGATATAACTGACTAGCCGGCGCAAAATAGACACTGACGTACAATAGACTGAGAAACAATATAAGATGACAGATACATAAACATGCTCCAGTTAGCTAGACAGAATTTCTATATCATTATACTCAGCCTCTTCGGCTTTATCCTACATCCTTACAATGTTGTGGGTATACTGTGGGGGGGGGACATAATATTCGCAAAAATGCAGTGAAGTATTGTGATACCATAAGGATAATAGAAAGGATTCCAAGAGTGTTTCGGTTCCCATGAAAAACTCTCAAGTATCGATGCCTTGTGGCATTCGACAATAAATATAGACTATTAGTTAGAAGTCAAACAACAAAAAACAGCGTTATATTTAGGACTAGTTTCGATGGTTTTTTTCGAAGCATCATCCTCCGCTGCAAAAAGCGCAAATGAACGAGATAAGATTATATCTATGCCTATGAACGAGATCATTATATCTTATCTCGTTCATTTGCGCTTTTGCAGCGGAGGATGATGGTTCCGTAACACCATCGAAACTAGTCCTGTGAAAATTTGACGCTGATTTTTGCTGTTTGACTTCTAAATTAATATTTGTTCGGCTTGTTATTGTATCTTAAATATAGACTAGTTGGACAGCTAGTTCAATTTTACATATCTATAGCGCAACTTATCGGGGCTTGGAAATATAACTCACCCATTATGACTACTGAGTACACCGTACATCCTACTTCGATCAAATCGGCCTGTAATGCTTGCAACTGGTGTCAACGATTTCCGTTGACTTATGATAAATGGCAGAATTATCTTCGGAAATGCAGTTTTCAGTTTGCAACCCGTTTTACTGTGGTCTGGAAATTTTTGCATTATTAATGGCCACAGATGGTAAGAAGTAGCTTGGCTGTTACAAGTCCTTCATCCGGATGTTCTGTTATTACCTAGATCATGTTACACAAATAAAACAGTGAAATCGCTAAAACCGCTGAGTCGCAACACTGTTCAGATGCATAATCTGGCGATAAAACTCGATCAATATCGATTCCACTTCGAGTTGCTAGTAGAATGGTTTTGAATTTAATCAACATATCCTTTTTAAGTGCGATTAAACGGCGACCTGCATCTTCATTTG